GTAAATGTTTATCAAAGTAATACTTTTGACTAAAATACCCTAGAATCATTATTGATGCATAGCAAAACAAAATATGTTAAAAAAACCCTACTAAATATAAACAATAAAAAGTATTGAGGCAATAAATAACAATTACTTTTAAATATAATATTAATCTATCAAATACATTTTGGTTCATAACTCCCTAGGCGAAGGGATCTTTATATATCAATCCAATCTGAGAGTAAAAAATGTGTAAAGTGGCTATTGTCAATTTTTGATTTTGAAGGTGACACGTTTACATTGTTCATAGGTAGAACAATAAAAAGTAATAACTATTGATTGAGAGACCTCAGGTGTGGTCAATCTTTGGTTTGCAACTGTGGTGCCTTCTATATAGGGAAGACCATTAGAATAGTTTTAGATCACCCATGGCGCAAGGCTTTGTCTTTCAGTGGGAATACAGTGGGAAATAGGACAGTTTACACTTATGTACTACATAGCTATCTATCTATCTATCTATCTATCTATCTATCTATCTATCTATCTATCTAGATAGATAGAAATATATCTATATATATTTTTTTAGTAAAGGTTATCTTCATTATCTTAATTTAGTCATTTTTAACTGTGCAGCGGTGTTTATATATTTAGATACTTAAAAGAGAACTATGGGGTAACCTTTTTATCCCATAGTTCTCTTTAGGGTCACAGGAGGACATATACTAACATCCTACCGTGACCCAAAGATATTGCCCGCTATATACTGAGAGCGCCACAGCTGGGACAGATCCCAACAATACTGTCAAGATCCACCCAGCTGGCTGATTGACAGCAGGCTCTGCCTATCTAGAGGCAGAGCCAGCTGTGCCGGCCCCCTCCCCCATCAGTTCTTCCAGTCAGTGCTGGAGGATAGGAGAGGGGAGGGAATCTCTGTTTGGAGCGGTGACTGACAGTCCCGCTCTCTGCAGGGAGATGATCGGGAAGTCAGCGAGCGACGATATGTGTTTGCTCACTTCGCAATCTATAGAAACTGTCTACAGACAGTTTCAATGTCACACGTCGGCTCTAACTATGAGGATGTGTAAATCACTCACCTCATAGTTCTCCTTTAAGGGTGCTATTTATTTACCTTTATATTTTGGTTTTGTTTGGGGTTCAGTGGATATCCGCAGGGGGAAGTTGATGTGTGTTCTGAATGTTTTAATATTTTTGTCATCTGTCCTATTTTGGGATACTCATTGATACATATTTGGTATATTGAAACTAATATTTATATATGGTATCCAGGTGTTGCCTCTATCCCTAATGGGTGTCAACAGGCATTGTTTTTATGTTTGTATATGTTTGTTTTTAATTTTTTGGTAATAAAGTGGCTTTTCTGTGGGAATACATGGTCCGTGTGCTATATTGTGGCAATTATAATATTATTCAATGTTTAGTGTAACTTTATTCTCATGTGTTAGCTTTCTGCATTGAGACTGTTAAGCATGTCGCTGGGACTTTAACCACCTGCTGTCCGGCCGCTGTAATTAAATGGCCGGACAGCGGCTTCTTGAATGCGGGTGGCCGTCTTTAAACGTCATAGCCCGCCCAGCTCGTGCCCACCGCTAGGCGGCGCGCACGAACGGGAAATCGGCTTTCAATGTAAACAGCCAGCGATGGGTTCAGGCGTCTGTAGAGACGCCCGAACACTTGTAATTGCATGCGGGTGTGCGCCCCCTCCGCCGCTGCTGGCGATCCCGAGCTCCGCTGTTCCCGGTGTGAGCCCGGGACCAGCACAGCAGCTCTGTGGCCGGAGATCAAACTAGGATCAGTACACGAACTCCATTTGATCTCCTCCTCGGAATGCAGGAAGTGTAGTGTATTACATCACTTCCGCATTCCTCTGTCACTCTCCGGTACAGAAACCGGAGAGAAGCTGGTGAAGCAGGTCTCTGCTTCATCAGCTTCTCTGGGGGTCCCTAGGTCTTAAAGACCCATGATGTCTCAATAAAGAGGACCTGTCACTGCAAATTGGCTATCACATTTGGCTATCACATTTTGTGGGGAAAAAAAAGTTTACAAAAAATTAAAGTTACAAAAAAAATAGAAAATTTAAAGTCACATATCAAGGCAATAAAAATAATAAAAAATAAAGTTCCCTGCCCCCACATGCACACACAAACATTCGTTGAGTCCGCCTACATGCGAAAATGACGATTACATCTATTGCACCGCACATGTTACATATCGCCGCGAACGTCAGAGTGAGAGCAATAATTATAGGGCCATTAAAGACTGATAACACTAAACTGATGAGCGGTAAAAGCTTTTAAAGCTTCGGCTATGGTCAATTTTGGGTAAGGTAGTTTTTTTGCGATTTAGCGGGTGCGTGCAATTTTAAAACTTGACATGTTTGGTTTCTTTTTACCTGACGTGACCCCGTATTTTTTTTCAAAATGTTCGGAACTTTTTTCATTATATAGTAAAAAAAAAAAACGTAGTGGTGATTAAATACCACCAAAAAAAAACTGTTTGGTTTCTTTTTACCTGACGTGACCCCGTATTTTTTTTCAAAATGTTCGGTACTTTTTTCATTATATAGTAAAAAAAAAAATGTAGTGGTGATTAAGTACCACCAAAAAAAAAACCTTTATCTGTCCCCAAAAAAATGGTATAAAATTCATTTCACTACAGCTTTGCATGACGGAATAAATGTCAGTCAAAGTACCACAGCGCTGAATACTGAAAAATGGCCTGGACAGGAAGGGGGTATAAACACCCCAGACCGCAAGTGGTTAAACATTCTTTCTCTCCTCCTTTTTTAATTTCCATCCCTCAACTCACCTTCTAGATCACTTCTGCATAGGTGGGGCACAGAAGCTAGCAGCAGTCACAGAAATGACTCCTTACTCAGCCTCCATGTAATTTTCCAAAAAGGGCACACATCCTGCTCCATGCCTCAGCACACAGGGTGGTCAGGGAAGGAGAATCTGGAAAATGACTGTAGTTATTGGAAGGCCAGTGACATTTATGGGACCTGCAAATGAACATGGAAGTTTGTAGGTGGAAGGGTGGTAGGTGTTTTGACTGACATTAGGCTGTGTGATCCTGAAGGTAGCAGTGGGCAACATCATTTTCAAATGGCTTTTGTAGCTAGGTACTTCATTTGAAAGTCATGGCACACTAAGCCATGGTCTGTGCAGCCTAGTGAGAAATCCAGCCCTGGTGACTGACAGTAAAAGCCTTTCCAACATTACAGCTAATAGTGATTAGTAACATTCAACTGGAAGATGGTTCTCAGCTTGTCTAAGTGTAAGGTCTTGTATGCAAACACCCAGGTCTGAGTATATAGTGATGATGCATTTCAGCTTTAGCAGCCACCTTTCCCATAATAGCAGTACTTGGACGCCCCCAGGACTTGTACTATTTACTCGCGCCATGAATATCGCTACAGACCCGTAAAGTAAATGCTGTATAGGGCAGTAGAAAGTGAGATAGAAGAAGAATCCATAAAACGTAACAAGAGGTCAGGACCGACAGCAGACAAAGGAGTATCCAGTAAACATAGCAACATGTCAGGGCAGGTAGCAGACAAGCGAGAATCCAGTAAACATAGCAAAAGGTTAGGGCAGGTAGCAGACAAAGGGGTATCCAGAAAACGTATCCGAGGGTCAAGACAGGTATCAGACAAGCAAGAATTCAGACACACATGTACAGACTCGATCAGCAGGAAAAGCTATTATAAGCACTGAAGAACAGGCTGAAGATACTACAATAGGGTGCCACCAGCGACAAAGCCAATTCAAGAGTTGGAGGTGTGTGAACAGATTAATTAGGCCACAGCTGGCTAAACTAGTGCTGCAGCCAGCAAGACACACAGAGACAGCATTAATTAGCCCACACCTGACAAGAAGACTGGGATAAGCAACCACCAGAAGAAGCTGGGAGGTTGTGACAGTCATAGGGTCACTAGACATGCTCCTAAAGGTGGCCATACACTTTAAAACCCTCGCAAGACTTTTGTCTTGCGAGGGTTGTAAAGTAATTTAAAAAACATACGATCTGCCCATCTTGGACGGCAGATCGTACTTGCGATCATCGCAAGCCGCCCCCCTGAGAGGGGGGCTTCCGATGACTGCAAACGGGCAGTGTGCGCGTGCGCACACCGGCCCGTTCGGCAGTTGTCGAACAAGCAGGCCACCAACTCGCCGAGAATCGTACGATTCCCGGTGGGTTTTCCAGCCTGCTTGTTCGACGGAAGGTCACACGCCTTCCGTACACTTTGTAATTATCGTACGATCGCGGGATTTCCCGTACGATAATCGTGCAGTGTATGGGCACCTTAAGACCAAGTAGCTTATTTAGTTCTGAAGAAACTGCTTGGATGATCTGCAAAGCATTAAAGGCAGTATTAATTCCAGGATCCTTCCAAGCAGGTACTTGATAAGCATGGTCCTTCCTGTGGCAGTCCTCAATGCTGCATGCAAAGGTGCTTATGTAATGATATGTGAGCACTGTTCTCTGCAGCATTTTCCTTTGAACTCAGGCTACACATCAGTGGACAGCACTGAACATACGATGAGTTTTGCAGCAAAAGCTGCAATATTTGGGAGCTTATTTTACATTTAAACCTGAACTGCAAAAAGTACTTTCTTTATTGTGAATGGTTCAGAATGTTATGTGCAATCCTTTACCAAACACATCCACAGGGTGCCTGCAAATGTTAAAAATGTTATATTTATTATGCCGGACACAGCATGAGCTAGTAAGCTTTCACATTTATAGTGTGTATATTATGTATTATGTATGTACCAGGGTCCTGCTGTACTAATTACCAGGTATCCCCATCAGTGTGGATGCTCGAAGTGACTGCAGATGGCGCCGCTCATATCAGAACTTGTGAGGGACATCACCAGCACACAGAAGTAAAGTGAAGCAAACGTCTATTTAATGACGCATACTGTCATAACAAATCGCAACGTTTCGGGGCCACACAGGGTCCCCTTCATCAGACTTCAAATAATATAATGTATTACCTCATGGTCGGTGAAAAGAAGCTGATGACAAATGGGTTCCAACAAGTTTTTAAAATCTTGCTCATCATCAATAACTGCATCAAGAAAATCTTTAATCTGAAAAAGAAAGTAATCACCATCAATATGGCTACATCCTTGAAAATTAAATACAAAATATACATATACCGTATACATACTGTATTACTAGGACTTGTTTTAGTTATATTTACTGAAATTGGACATTAAAAATATATTGTTTGAAAATGTAGCGAGATTAGGCCACACTGTCTTCTGCCACTATGCACTACCTCTGTCATTCAATTGTTAAATGCCATGGTCTCTGCTGTGCACATGTTCTGGCATTTGATTTGAATGACAAAAGGCAGGGCTTAATAAATTGTCCTATATCCTTTTGTTATGACTTGTCTTTTAATCTTTTTTTAATCACAGTACTGGTACATTTTCACAATGCAAAAATTAAATCTCTGATTTTTTTTAATGTAGTTTAAACACAGTTGAAAACGATTTGTGATACTTTTTTGTTTGCACTAGTAGTTGTTAGTAAGGTGACAACCACTGATGTAAAGTCTAGTATAAAATAATCAGTATGCAAAGTGAAGGCTATGCCTTAGTACTTACTACTTCTGGTAGATCTTCAAACTGTCCGTCTTTTACCATTTTGACAGTTGGATTTCCTATCATTTCCTATACAAAACAAAAAACATAAATGTCTATCTAGCATTTTGCATATGAAAGGAAATGTGATAAGGCAGCTAAATGAATAAGTTGTAGCCTGTCACTCTGGCTAGGTTACCTAATGGATGTTCAGTTACTTGTCTACACAGACACAGGGTTCAGTAACTAAGGGCTGAGTTTGATCATCACAAATATAGTTTGCCATTCTATGGGCAGAGTGTGTACATGGACTAACTTTGGCAAACTGGGGGCAGGCATAGAAGGAATAACAGTTTTTGCTGCTGCTTTGGGAAAGCACCATCAACTATTACGTTGGCCCCTACAACACAGACAATACTTTGATTATTGACTTTTTTTTTTAAAGAAACTTAAAGAAATAGAAAAGGAAATATTCTTACATTAAATATCAGCAAGCTAGTTCCTTTTTTGACATACAATATTTGTGTGCCTGGAATTTGTTCTTCTTATATCCATTCTATGGGGTTAATTTATAAAGGCAAAGGGAATTTGCAAATGGCTTAGTGAATACGGTAAAGCTCTGCTAACTTACATCATCCAATCATGTGCAAGCAAAAACACAGTTTTTTTTTTTTCCTTGCTCATGATTGGGTAATCTTTGCCAAGTGAATTTTCACCACATTCAATGAGCTAAGCGAAAACTCATTTGCAAAGTACAAATTCCCTTGCAATGTGAACTGCCTAATTGCCTTTAGTAAATTGTCTTCTATGCCTCAAGCTATGTTGACACATTTAACTCAAATCTTTACTCTTCCTCTTCTGGAACATTTGCCATTTGTGATTAGCCTCATAGCAAAATATTCCTTGATCATTCCTTTAGCTAAAGCTACTGTTGTGCACTACATTTTACTATAGGTTCTATGAGTATATAGTGTGTACCATCTAATTCTATGACTTACAACACTATGATATGACAGGGGTGGACAAATGAATATGGAATTCAGTCTGTCCAATCCAGGAGCCAGCATTATTTTTTTTAGGAGCCAGCTCCATTGACAACTAAAGAAAGCCTCAAAAACTAGGAGCCAGTTGTATTCATTTTAAGGAGCATTGTCAACCGAGCTCTTAAGATTTGTCCTGTGAAAAAACCTGTTTCTCTAATCTTATTACTCTGATGCTGCTTGCCACCTGGGTTACCTAGGTATCCATAGCATAGGATTATAGACAGTACCCAGGGAAAACACACAAAAACCCACAAAACAAATAGAAGTGACCCTTTTTTTGTTTTAAAATTACACATCAAAATTCAATTATATATTTAAGAATTCAATTCAAATCAATTATATTCAAATCAATTCATATATTTAACAACTGTACATTTAAAAAAGGTCGCATCCTCTTGGATCAGATCAATTTATTACAATTTTGCAAATCCAAATGTCTAGTCCCATTTCTGACAAATTCACAGTATCATTCCTTTAAAGGTTCGGCAAAGTCCCCTTCTATATCTAAGTGACAAAAAGAAACCCCCAGGTAACTTATTTTTCCTTTGTTTTATTTGTACTAATATTTTTATAAAGGATTCATGGATAGTTACTGAAGCTGAGCCAATGTAAAGGGGAAGCGATTCATTTAGGATATATTGACATTTTGACTTTTCACAATGAAGGGGATCTCCACTGTTTTTAGTTAGTTTCCCCTTAGCTTCTCCAAGGATCACCACTTTACCAAACAGATGCCGCCGTCCTCTGCTGTTTCCGGACTGTTCGCAAATAATTGATTGTAATTATCTGAAGATGATCGCACCTGGATGCAGACCGCGGCGTGGTCCGCAGGTAATCGCAACCTGTGCGACAGCAGATCGCAAACCGCCTGTGCAACAGCAGATCGCATGAGACTACCATAGGAATGTGTCAGGCTCTGTGTTCCAGTCCCATTCGCATGTCTGAATGGGGCCTAAGGGTCTTTTATTAAAAACAATTAGCAAAAAGCAAACGTCACTGGAGGGTGGATTATCAAATAGATCAGCAAACTTCATGAATTACTTGTTCAACCACATACAGGCAGTCCCCGAGTTACAAACATCCGACTTACATACGACCCCTACTTACAAACAGTGGCTATTACTGTTCAGGCTGCAGCCAAAATGTAAAGCGCAGCATTTCAGTAGATGCTACCACGCTCGTGCCTATGAGGAGTGCCCACCTTTTTTGTCTGGTTCATAGTACCGTACATACATTACAGGAAGTTGGCTCTTGTTAGACGTGCAGACGAGGGGTGCCTGCCTCTTCTTCAGGGTCACTGTGAGGTTTTTACTGTTGTCTGTATCTTCATTAGAAAGATTTAATCTTACTTCCTGTCCTTGAGACAACAGGAAGTGAGAAGAAATCTACCCCTAGGAAGGGAAATTCATTTCTGTAAGAGTTATCATGGGAAAAAGGTGTTTCCACTGAAGCTTTATCACCAATCCTTGTTTCCACGACAACCCAAAATATTTAAAATCTAATTGTCACTGGGACAGAAAGTGAGGTGAAATCTTCTGAACAAGATCACACAGAGCAAAACAAATGTTACAGGGGGTTAACCCTTCCCTATGCTATCCAATACTATAAAAAATGTTTGGGCTGGAGTTACTTAAAAAATGTACCTGTTCCAACTTACATACAAATTCAACTTAAGAACAAACCTTCAGTCCCTATCTTGTTCGTAACCTGGGGACTGCCTGGTACTTTAAAGTACAAACAAGATCTACTTGGCTTGGAGTCAGAAGTTTTATCAATCTTTCCACTGGTCCCCCCAGACTTTCATCTCCCTTCTCTACATGCTCTGCTACGTGGCTTCATTGGTTTCAGTTATGTCGTATTTGTAAACAGCTAAACGCCGCGGGACTCATACATAGGTAAGGAACCCACTATCAGTAAGCAGCTGATAAGTCCAGAAACGAAGTACAAGTTTACGGATAATCCAAGAGGGTAGTCGAAGCCCAGTCCGGGTCGAAGCAGGCAGCGAAGTATCAAAGGCGAAAGACAGTCCAAGGTTCAGCAATCGGGAAGTATAACGAAGGGGCAACAGGCAACAAGAGGATCAACAGGGAGGCTAGGTGTCACACCATAAGGTGGAATAACTCAGCAATTAGCCAGAGCTCAGGCCAGGTTTTTATAGCCAGGGGAGGTAAGACCACCCCCCCGTTCACCGAGGCAACCAGGAGGCTTCCCTCCCCGGGGGCCAATATCAGGCGTGAGAGATGGAAGGTGTGTACTGGGAACCGCCCCCAGCAAGGCACACACCTAATGCCTAATGGCGCAGGAGCGCTATGCGTGCGCTTCCGGGGAGGCGCGAGCAGCCTGCGTACTGCACATGCGCACCCGCCGTGCGACTCACGCATGCGCACCCGCAGCCCGGGCACCAGGAGTTCTACCAAGCTGAGGGGGAACCCGTACCCTGCGCGGTGCCCGGGGTCCCCGAGCAGAGGTAACACCCCCGGCTTCCTGACAGAGCCCCCCACCAAGGAGCGGCCCCCGGACGCGACCCTGGGAAGGCCTCTCAGGATGAGCCCGATGGAACGCCCGCACCTTGGCGTCCGCATGGACATTCCCCGAGGGCTCCCAGGAATGCTCCTCGGGACCGTACCCCTTCCAGTAGACGAGATACTCAAGTACCCCACGCCGGCGGCGGGAGTCCAAGATCTCCTGGACTTCGTACTCGTCATCGTTATTCACCTGCATGGGAGGTGGTGGAGCAGGCACCCGGCCCAGGAACGAGTTGGCACGGTGTGGTTTCAGCAAGGACACGTGAAATACCGGGTGGATCCCCAGGGATGCAGGCAACCGAAGCTTGGCGGCAACTTCATTGACCATACCCACGATCTCGAAGGGACCGAGGTAACGGGGTCCCAGTTTACTGGAGGGAAAGGACAGCCTGGAGTGCTGTGTGGAAAGCCACACCTTGTCCCCGTCCATGTATCTGGGGGACTCCGTGCGTATGCGGTCCGCCTGCGTCTTATGCCGCTGCTGAGCGGCCTCGAGTTGTTGTGTTAGGGTCCACCTCAGTTCTCGGAGGTGACAGAGCCATTGGCCCACTTCGGGCACCGGGATGTCAAGGGGGAGATCCGGGAGGGTCGAGGGATGGTAGCCGTAGTTGGCATAGAATGGAGAGAGCCCGGTGGAGGAATGTAGCTGCCCATTGGACTGAGGGTGGTAGGCAGAGGACAGACTGCAAGTGATACGAGTCCAAAAGCGGGAGGTGAATTGTGGGCCCCGGTCTGAGACGATGGAATCAGGGAGCCCGTGCAACCGGAACACATGTTGGAGGAACATGTTCGAGGGCCGTCGGGAGACCAGAGGTCGGAATGAAGTGGGACATCTTAGTGCATCTGTCCACTACCACCATGATGGTGGTACAGGTTTGCGAAGGTGGTAAGTCCACGATGAAGTCTATTGCTATGTTGCGCCATAGAAGGGTTGGCACTGGCAGAGGCTGTAACAACCCAATGGGTTTTGAGGTGGGTCGTTTGTGGAGGGCACAGACGGAACAAGACTCTATGAAGGAGCTTACGTCGACTGCCAAAGAGGGCCACCAAAACTGACGTAGGATGCATTCCATGGTGTTACGCCTACCTCGGTGGCCCGCTGTGGGGTGGTCATGGTGATGCTGCAGTACGGGCAGTCGCTGAGGGACTGGGACATAGATCCACTGTTGGTGATACCGTAGCCCCTGCTTAACCGGCAGGTGGGCTGTTTCCTCTGGGGCTGGCGTGCTGGCCCGTCTGATCCTCTCGATCAAGGAGTGTTGGGTGGCCAGAAAGTATGCGGCTGGCAGGATGGGTTCCGGGGGTGCAGGATCGACCTCGGAGGAGTACATACGGGACAAGGCGTCAGCCTTGCCGTTCTTGGATCCCGGTCGACAGGTTATCTGGAGGCGGAAACGGGAGAAAAAGAGAGCCCACCTGGTTTGTCGGGGACGCAGTCGCTTGGCACTGCGGAGGTACTCGAGGTTGCGGTGGTCGGTGTACACCACCACAGGGTTTTCGGCTCCTTCCAGCAAATGTCTCC